TAAATGTACTGCAAAACAAATGGTAACCTGAAATGAGGTATCGTTTTAAGTTCGTGTCTGAAATTACTATAGCATCAGCTGTAATTTTTCTTGTATTTTTAGAATTTTATTTAAGGATAATTGTATATTCTTGAGAACGCCTATAGGTGTCTCCTAGTGTGTTGTGTGGTTCCTTGTGCTTTGTTTTAGTAGATGAGTGTATCTGTGTGTACGTGTGCGTGAAACAGGACCAGTGAACAACAGAAGGAAAAATAAGGTGACAATAAGATGGCATCAGTAAAATGACAGCAGAAGTAGTCTGCCTGAAAGCATGTTTGAGGTTAGTACTGGCTGAATGTCGCTTTGAATTCTGTGCAAGGAAAGTACTTCCTGCTTTTTGACAACTACTGTTCATTTATTTGTTTGTTTAGCTTTACAGAGGAGATTGGGTGCTAATTTTGCCAGTGGACAGGCTGTAAGAGATGTGCGACAGGCCTGTTTGCTCACCTGAGCAAACTCACGTGAGCCAGCGTTGATCTGCCAGAGAGCACTCCAAAGCCAGGTGTCTGCCAGGTTCCTGAAGTGCTTTTCCTTCAGAGGAACAATCTGAGGACTAAAGGAGTTATGAGTCACTCCAGCTTCTGCTGTTGACTGGAGATACTCTGCATGAATATTTTCCAGAGCAGCTGTATATTCCCCTTTGGGTTATTTGTTTCTCTGAGGCTGATTTTAAAATTTGACCAGCATTTTTAAGGTTTCAGGTGTTAGCACTGAAGCATTCAGCTATTCACTGAGGTGATTACCAGAACGTTTGCATCTGTGGCCCTAGTTAATTGCCGGCTCATAGGCCATGCTTTGTGTTTACTGAAGCCCTGTGGGGAACTGTTTCCTCTTCTAGCATATAATGATGCACGGAAGAAATTAAGGTAATTTATCTGTATTCCTCGCATCTTTTGTATGTTCCAGCAGTGCCAGGCTGCTGCAGTGTCAGGCCATTGCGCTGCTATTGTGTTCCATGGATGTGGGCGCACCTTGATGCAGGGCTGCACTGCAAGTCCCCACTTGCCTGGAACAGGGCAAGCGTGTGGAGCAGCTACGTAGCCGGGGCCAGCCCCCTTGGAGCAGCTTGTCCCAGAAAAAGGAGCCCAGTCAGGCCCTGGAAAGGGGCAGGCAGGGTAAGGCTGCGCTCAGGGATGAGTTTTATGAAAATGCCCCTCTTAGTGTGGGAGAGGAATGTCAGGCCCAGGACTTTTAATTTGAGTCATATGATAACTAAGAGAACTTTTGTTCAGTACATACTGCAAATGAACTACACGAATTAAACAGAGATCCTGAGTGCTGCTTGGAATTGCTATTGGCAGCTATTAATGTCTCTTCTGTTGTATTTTTATCACAGCTTAGTGAGAGTTCACCAAGATGTAGCGCTTTCTGTTAGCTTCACAGGCAGCAGGGAGTACTTGGGATATTCCAGGATTTCATCCCAGCTTCACAGCTCTCCGTGTTGCCTTGAAACTGTGCTGGGTTTTCTGTCTCCCGTGAAAGAGCTGGAGGGGGGGGGAAAAAAAAAGGCAGCATTAAATTTACATCTCCAGTTGCTATGCAGATGGAATTGGAAATGAGCTCTCTGCCACCAAGCGGAATCAGTAATATCATTTCAAGTCCTGGCTAACATCTGTAAACATCTGTGCCTGCCCACAGACCCTGACAAGAGGTTTCAGAACATATTTCTTTAAAAAGGTCATTGAGGAATACAACCCCCAGGATGCACTGCACACTAAGTGTTTTAATATGGCTCTTGCAGAGGCCTCATATTGGACATTTCCCCTTCTTAATTATGTTAACAGTCTCCAGCCTGAGGCATATTGAAGCATCATCCATCTGCCTTGGAAAAAAAAAATGTATGTGGAAAAGTGTGTGTTTTTTTTTTCCAAGTGCTGCCGTGAGCTCCCTTCTGGCTGCGAGCCAGCCCAGCCGCGGCTGCAAGGCCAGCCCAGGCCGTGGCTGCTGTGGGCAGCAGCATGGGGCGGCCAGGGCTCCCCACAGGGCTGAGCCCGCTGCCTCTTGGGGCTGTTGATGGTGGGTGCTGTGTCCTTAAACTGTCAATGGCCATTGCCATAGGGAAGGGCAGGCTGGACCCACAGCCTTGGTGGCACTGCCAAGAGGCCAGGCAGGAGCAGGGTTGGCAGTGGCTCCCTCCTTGGCGAGGGCTGGCATCGACCTTGGCCTTGCCAGGAAGGGGCAGCAGGGCCATCTGAGGGGTCAGATGTGCCCCAGGGTGCACCCACATGCCCCGGCAGACTCTCCAGGCCCGGGAGTCAGCTGTCCCAGGTGTTTGGTTCCCAAGAGCCATGCACAGAGGTGCCCATAACTCTGCAAAACTCCTTCCTCCTGTGCTGCCCCATCGCCCCGCAAGGAGCCCAGGGACATGGACTGGGTCAACCCAGTCACCTGGCTGTTGCTGTGCCATGGCTGTGGCCCTGCTGCTCCAGTCTTGCTCCTTAAACGCAAAGGTGCTGGTTGCCAAGTGTAGTGCTGCCAAGGGCTGTGATTTCATGCACAGAAAAGCCTAAGTAGCAAACGGGTCACTTATGTGAGCTTGACACATCCTGAGACAGAATGCATTGAACTGGTAAGCGAGAAGGGGCTCTGCTGAGGAAATACCAGCATTTCTGCTTCTAAGGGCTTTTCCCCTCATGAGAATTGTGTGACCCCATCCAGCCTGGGGTTTCCTGCTGGCTATTCTGCTTTGTCATTTGGACTGCAATAGTGCAAGCTGAACCAACCTCCAGGGCCAGCCAGGCCACCATTTTGTGTCATCTCCCCTTTGAGCTGCCATTTTGCGTCACCTCCCTTTTGAGCCATTTTGTGTCACCCCTTTTTGAACAGCCATCCTGTGCTGGATGTGGCTGTGCAGAGCCTTCTTCATGCGTTACCCATCTCTGTGCAGATGCCACCAGTGAATGCCTGCCCCCTGCCCCCACCAAATGCCTCCTCTGATCGGGGGAAAAGCAGAGGAGGGAAAGTGTCTTCTTATGAAAGCAGAAACAGCTTATGGGACTCTCAGGATTTATGATCTCTCGAGAAGGAAGCTGCTTGCCCTGAGCAGCTGTGGAGCTGGCCTTGCTTCCCAAACCTGTTGAGGCAGGAAGGGAGCAGCTGTGAGCGTCTGTGGTGCCGTCCTGCCATCGGCCACGCTTGGCCCTGTGCAGTCGCGGCGACGCGGATGGCAGTGACCGGCAGCCCAGACACTGCTCCCTTTCAGCGCGCATAAGCTGTTAACTTTTAGAAGGGAGGTCCCCCTTGCGTATTTATGTCAGTGATGTGGGGTTTTAAACTATTCATGCATGCAAAATGACTGTAGGAATTGCATACTCCCCTGTGCGAGCAAGGGCTGCGTGGGAACGCGATTGGAGCAGTTCCGCAGCGCGTGCCGCCGCTCGCACGCGCGCTGTGGGAGCGTCACGGCGTGGTTTTAGATACTGGCACATGCTAATGCAGCGATTTCAACCAGGCTTTTCTTGTCCCTTTTGGATTTGTTCAACTTAACAGCTAGCATGTCTCATGTTTGCTCTAAGATATGCCCAGCAAATTAGGCAAATTAAAAAATGCATGAAAAAATATAGTGCTGTGCACATGTTTTGGGTTTGTTATTTATTAATAGACTCCAATTTCCATATGATAGCCTACTTAAAAAAAAAAAAAAAAAAAAACTTTGGCTCAATAGATAATTTTTGCCAATTACACGTAGTCAGACGGCTTCGAAATCTGTTTTTGCTTTTCTCATGCATAAAGGCCTGGATTCTGTTTCAGGTTCTAATTAAACCCTACACTGATTTTAAAGATTCTATTGTCCTTTCCATTAAATAGGAGTTTTGTTAGATCTTTAACAAGACCTCAGTGGGGTAATAAATCTAAGAAACTGTCCTTATTAGGAGCAGATTATCCTCATGAGATGGTAAGTCACAGAACTAACTGAAACCATTTGTAGAGACTGAACTAAGGCTTTTTCTCCCTAAACATTAAACAGACTTCTGAATGACTTGCTTGGGTGCTCAAATTAAATTAAATGATTTTTTGTTTATTTTTCACATTTTCAGTGTAGGCTATTTGCATTTACTTAAAGTTTAAGAGTTGCATTCAGCAAAATCCACTCCAGAGTAATGATCCTTATTTCCAGTAAACAAGTTTTGTAGCCGTAAATGAAACCCAAGAAGTCTTATAATTTCTTTTGTTGGTAACCCTTGGAACACTTGTGATTTATAGGTCCTGCTGACCTAATGACTACATCCTTACTTGGTGAGATGTCCCACTATAGCGGATTTCTTGGCTGAGGATTAGTCCTAGATTTGACTCACGGCCGAATGCATTGCAGTGTGCATTTGACCAAAGATCTCCTCGGCTGCTGGACCTGAACATGGTTTTTATTCAGAGAAGTGGCCACCAAACCCACCAGAAGCTGTGGCTACGCTTGGCCTTGCAGCGTTTGTGCACTGCCAGGCAGGGAAAGATGACTCTGCTTTCCTGCTTCTTTTTGTTTCTCTTAGAAATGAAGCGTTTTGTTTGGTTGGAGGGTTTGCCAGTCTGTAGGTACTTGTGGATTATTTCGTTCCTGGTTTTAATCATAAATTGGTTTTGGATGGAACATGACTTTCTCCACGCACAGTCATGAATTTCTGCTGTATGTTTAATTCCCAACTTTGCTATATACATTATAGTGTGAATTTTTAAAATTATCCAGTTATTTTGAAGCTCTATTTTGTGGTGCCTGGTTCAAGATACTGATTTCTAGGACTTAATTCAACCCAGCAGCCATCAGGCAAAGCAGAGAGCACAGGGCCGTCCTCACAGCAAGACATGTCGCCTCACAGTCTGATTTCTTTTTTTTTTCTGCCTTTTGCTGGCTCAGTTTTGGAGCTGACTTCAGCTGCTGCCCTCTGCAGAGCACATTGCAGGAAGCCGCTCTCCAGGGACAAAGCCACACGTGACGCGACCCACGTCCGCCTCCACCGGGAGCAATCCTGCAGCCCTGCTCAGACGCAGATGAAGACAAACCCTTCTTGGTTGCTGCAGCTGCACCAGCTCTCAGCCACCAGGTATTTAATGCCCTGAAGTTAGTGTCCTGTCCCTTCGCTGTTCTGTTCCTGCTTTGCAGCCCGGTATCTCTGTAGAGCCAAGTATTGCGAGGCTGCAATGGTGCTCTGCTGTGTTTCGTCATTAAGAGGCCTACTCGACCCTCCCTTGTCCTCTAAGTTACACTGTATGGATATTTCGGGGCATAATAAATTAGAGGAATGTAGTCCAAGACCATTAATTTCTGATTAGAGGTTTGCTGTGTATCCTGGGTGAAATTGCTGATTTTGATGAGCCTTCATCTCTTGCTCTTGCAGCGGCAAAGATTTAGGCATGGCAGGTCATTAAGGAGGTGGAAAATATGGTTTAAAGTGAGGTCTGTCATTTCTCAGCATCATGGCTCCCCTGTGCTCTGGTAGGAGACTCGGAAAACGGAAGGTGCTGACTACAGATAAGTCACTTGGCCGCTATTCTGCTTGCGGTGCAGAGCCTGGGAAAGCGTGGGGCATCGCACACGCTGGCTCCGTGGCCGCAGCTCTTCCTTCCCGCCGCGTTCTGCACCTCCGTAAAGGGGCTCGCTTGGAGAGCCCGCCTGCTGGGCGACCCCGCAGCGTGACCTGCCGCGCGGGCACCGAGCTGCCTGGCTGAGCACAGTCTCCCCACTGGTGTGGGGCACGTATGAGTGTGTTGTGTGGTGGTCAGACCTCCCCATTTAGCCAGGGTTGCTTTGCCTGAGATACTGCATTGCCATTTTGCAAAGTCTGGATTCTTGTCAGGATGTGGGTTTTCTTTTTGTTTTTTTCCTTTCCCTCCCTCCCTGCTAATATCCCCAACAGCAGGCCCAGGAACTAATCCTATTTCTGCCCTGAGACAGGAACTTGTTTTCATTCTCTGTGGGGCAGAGCTGAAAAGCTGGTGTCCAGCAGGGGAGGGTATCCCTGAGCATCCGCAAGAAGGTGGCGTGTGGGGATGAGAACTCTAGTTTGCTTTTCAACGTGAGTAGATGAGGTTTAGGTGGGAAAGTAATGGAAATGCTAAATGATTACTGCTAACACTTGCTAAGATGACAGCAAATCTCCTCTATATTAATGTTCAACTTCTGAGACTAGATTGAATCTTGCTTTATTAAAGAAGGTAGGAAACCTAGAAACCTAGCTCTTTAATCTTCAGCTGGAAAACACAATTTTGAAACCCATTATCTTAGGAATGCAATAATCAAACAAAGTAATAACTGATGTTAAACTGACTTTGAATATTATTTAAAGTATTTCCCAGATGGAAGTAAAAGTTGGTAGGATGGTGTCAGACTGCCTTGGACATCTGCTGTGTTTATGGTGCTGCACACACAGAGAAGAAAGGTTGATTAACATGTATTTCCAGCCTGTGAGATTGTTTGGGAACTATTGAAGGCTAAAAAGTCATTATGAGATTTATAAATATTTCTGCATGCTGTTTGCTGTGTTGGGCTGCTGGGATTCTGTCGGTGCTATGTTGCGAGCACAGCGCTGCCTATGAGGCCTTCCCCAAAGTAGGAACCCTGCAGTTTTGGGTATCTTCTGAGTTAGAGAGAGAAAAGGTGCCACTGGGGGGTCGCTCCCGCTGCTAGTGCTAAGCTCTTCCCTTCAGCACGTTCTGGAGTGTTTTGCCCAACGCTGTTTTAAAGGTCCCAGGTGAGCAGCCTTGCAGCAGAATGTCATTCATATCAGCACCAATAGTTTGTTGTGATGTTTGAAGTGAGATTCCCCTTCCTGTTGCTTATCCCGTTGTGCCTCCTCGTGTTCTCGAGATGGATCCAGCCTGCCCGGGGGTCTCATTGCTAAGACGCTGTTTGGTGGCACAGGAGCGCGAGCGCCGCAGCTGGCAGTTCCCCTCCGCCCTGCACCGTGTACACAGCTTTCCTATTGTGTCCCCATTGACAGCGCACTCAGTTTTTTTCCCAAACAGAATCGTATTTCCTTTCCCCCTCCCCATGTTTTTCACCTTTCTTTGCCAATTTGTAAAATGCATCTGCTCTGTTGTTTTCAGTTTCTCCTAAGTTAATATCACTGGTGAGGTTCTCGCTCTCTGTGCAGATCATTAACAAGAGGCTATGTGCGCTTCTTGTAGGGAAAAATGGAAAAAAAAACAAAAAACAAAAAATACTGCATTCCCCAGAGAGCCTGCTTAGTGTGTTGCTGGTGAGCATCAATGCTCTTTGTTTAGAGACTTGTAACTTTCTTTGGTTCTTTAACAGATGCAAAGTGATATCTGATTTTTAACCTACTTGGCACTTCAGTGTGAGAATACAAGGAGCAGAGAGAAATTCAAAAGTTACAGGACTTGAGAGGACATGTGCAGCCCTAGGGAAAAGGCAGTTTGCCATGTAAGCAAAATGAAAAAACGGATTAGCAGGATCCCAGCCCAGTCACAAAACCAGTCTGTCCCCAGCCCGTGGGCAGGTGAGGGAAGCCCAGCGCTCCCTGCTGCCGGCCTGCGCTCGCGCTCCGCGGCGGCGGCGCTGCCAGAACCCCAACCGCCATCGGTTCGGCCCGCGCTCAGCTGGCCGTGGTGCCGCGTGGGGGCCTTCTGCCCCTCGCCGTTCTGGTGCTGCCAAAGACACCAGGGCTTATGGGCTCACTGTGATCAGGCGTAAATGTTTGTGCCTGCTGCCGCTGCCAGCAGGAGCCGTTTGTGCAGTGGCTGGTGGGGAGCTGGATGAGGGGGCAGACCAGAAGCTGATCCCCAGGCTGGCCGGGACGCGGTGCTGGCACGAAGGAGGGAGGCACTGGGGCAGGGAGAGGAGGATGGGCCCGCAGGGCCGAGCGCTGCCGCCGTGGGCTCAGCAGGGAGCTAAGGCCTCGGGCCTCGCGGGTGCCTCATGTCAGGAGTTGAGACACCGCTTGGCCTGCGGGAGCCACATGTGGCAGCGACGAGGGGCAGCTCCTGGCGCCCTGGAAAGCTGGGCCCTGCAGGCACTGATTGCACTGTGGCCCCATCCCTGCGTTTGCTGGAGGTTGGCACTGAGAAAGCGCTTGTTTTCAGCACCACAGCCTCGCAGTAGAGCCTCCAAGCAAACAAAAGCGGGGTCTGTGGCAGCAGCAGGACTTGTGGCAGCGCCCCATGGGCTCCATCTCCCCAGGAGGCCCCTGAGCACAACCTTCCTCCTCCTCCTTGGCCCCTCACAGCAGGAGCAGCGCCAGCAGTTTCCACTCTTGGTCACCTAAAGCTGAGATAGTGACCAGGGACTGGAGTTTAGCTTGGGTCAACAACAGTGCTGTAAACTGAAACTAATAGCTTAGTTCCAGTTATTTCTTCTGGAGGGGATGATGCAGAAGTAAATCACCTTGAAAGTTAGCTGTGGTAGTAGCTAAATACTTTTTACATGTCACTTAAAACTTCAAGTCATCTGACAAAGAAACCTATTTAAAATAATAGTAAACTGCCATCTGCTGGTAAGAAAAGCAATGCACGGAATGAAAAAGCAGACTTTTGCGGTGATGAACAATTCTTTGTATTTGACATGCTACAGTCAGATACACATATGATATGGAAGCTGCATATATTTATTTTACTGTTTTTCATCTCCATTTGCATTTTCATATAGAATATGCTAAACAGATGCCTATAACATAACTAACTGTAACGACAAGCACAGAAAACCAAAGACAATAAGAATAAAGAATGAGGACTAATAAAAGCAGATGAGCGATCAGGGTGGTGACAGCCTCCAAATGTGTCCTATTTACATTGCTAATAAAGAATCACATATAGCTCTTTTTTGATTCCCCCTCCACCGCAGACCCTCCAGTATGACCAGAATTCTGGCACTGAAACATTTCCCAGCTTCTTCAGTTTGATTTTCATGTGTGGTTTCTTAGTCAAGCTTGTAAATAGGAAGTGGATCTTTAATTGTTCCTGATTTAAGTAGGTCATCTTCTCCAATACGCAAATCTCCCATCTTCATATAAGCCAATCAGCTATTGAAATGGTACAGAAAACCCTTATTACACAAATATGGCCAGGAAAAATGATCGAACAAAGGACCCCTCCCAAGGTGCACGGTGAGTTACACAAGCAGTCTCCATAAATCACAAGTATGAGTGCCCTTCAGGGGAGGGACTAGCAGCTTTCGTATTTGTATAGTGCCTGCCACGGAGGTGTGCTGAGCATGACTGGGTCTCTAAGGTGCTGCTGCACTATAAATAGTGGTATTAGTGTGAACTAGCTCCAGAGCAAGCGTCGGGCTGCTTGGCGTTTTCATTTGCATGCAGTTTTCTTTTATGATTTTGGTTATTCCAAACATAGCCCATTGTTTTAGCAAACTGATCTTGTCATAGGAAATGTGTAAAATGGGCAAAAAAAAAAATAGGTCAGTTTCTCCTTTGAAATCAGAGAAGGGTGTGCATTTGTAATATTCCCCAGGTTTATTTCCTTGGAGCAGATTTGGCAGGTATGAGAGGAAGTTAAAGATTTATTTTTGGTGCTATGTACCAGATGTCATACTTGCTCTTCTGAGACAGTTGCTTTTATCTGCAGCAGTACCTGCTCTAGTTGCAATGAAAGAAGTGACTTGAATCCCATTTAAAGCATGTAGTGTGCACTGCTTGCAGGCCACAGAAAGAAGGGAAAGGCAGGGCTGGTTTGGGAGACTCCAGGCAGAGTCCTTGTGCGTCATCGTAAAGCAAACATGTTTGCATCCCTCTCAGCAGTACTGCTGCTTCTATGAAGAAGTGGTGCATTCATGGTGCCCAAGCCCAGGGCTTGCGACCCCAGCACAGGCTGAGGATTTGCAAAGACCTTAGAAGTCTTCTTGTATTTATGGGAGCTCCCCATGTGGCTCATTTTGTAGAATCCAGGTTGCTGTCTATAAACGGCCATTTCTGGGGAACGTGGGGCTGAATGTACCCCACTCTCTGTGTTCTTACTCAAGCCTGGTGCATCTCAGTGCCCTTCCTGCCTGACGAGGCCATCACACGAGGCCCATGGGGACTATTCAGAGCACAGGGCCTGAGCATGGGGAAACGGCACAGCGCTGCCTTCTGGC